GGAGACAGAGGGAGACAGAGGGAGACAGAGGGAGACAGAGGGAGACAGAGGGAGACAGAGGGAGACAGAGGGAGACAGAGGGAGACAGAGGGAGAGAGAAAGTCAGACAGCCGCAGAGAGAGACAGACAGAGACAGGGAAAGATACAGACAGACAGACAGACAGACAGAGAGACGGGGGCAAAGAGAGAGAGAAACATGGACGGACAAACAGAGACAAACAGACAGAGGGGGGGGGCGGGGGGGGGGGGCAAGAGAGAAATGGCAACACAATTAGACAAATGAATCATAACCCCTCTCCCAACACCAGCAGGCATAAGCATAGCAGTCTTCAGATGATGCAGTTGCTTACCTCGAGCGTTCTTCCTCCTTCACTCCCTTCCGCCGGATCTTCTCCCAGACAAGCACTGCCTCCTGAACGCAATCAACAGTGAAGGAGTGATAAACGAACACATAAACAAGTAATTCCAATAGCCATGCAATTCGCAATTTCCAAACTAGAAAGCAAAAAGAAACCAACCACAGTGACAACCACTCCAGTCACCTCTTCATCCTTCAATCATCAACCCCTTCTATTCCCCCATGTGCATTCTCAGTTGGCCTTCCCCACCTCTCTCTCTCGGCTCTCATGTCACACAGGTTTGAGCTGTGAGATTTCCCCAGCCTCGATCATCATTTCAATACAATAGAAATGGCAATGCTTCCCCCCCCCCCCCAATCCGGTCTTCTGCCCAGCAATGGTAAATCAATGGTCCAACAAAGGAGATGAGACCGCGGATGCATGCACATATGAAATTACACCTCATCTTTTCTCTTTTTTCTTTCTTGCTTATCTTAAGCAACCAACCAGATCGCACCTTTTCAAGATCATAGTTAACTCGCTTTGACTTCTTCCGTTGCTCTGCCAGTTCCTGCGTTAGACAAAACACAACAATCTTCTTAAAAATTGTCAACAAATAACTGCATCGACTTCTTTTTAGCAACAATCACGCGAGGATTATCAAACTGATCAGAGTAGATTAGTAAGAAAAAGAAAGAAAAAAAAAAAAAAGAGGATTTGATCAAAACTTCACAAATACTCAGCAATTGTGGCGCTACCGAGTCCACTCGCTAAAATTGCTCAACTGTTCTCAACGTCATATCAACAAAGAGATTGAAATCCTGTTGGCCAGGCGAGCCTGAGGCAACAGATGTTTCTGTCTTTGAAAAAAGACCAACAAAACCTGCCACAAAAGCATTCTGTCCCATTTGGCAAGAGCCACCAAGAAATTATTATCAGTAACTACCGAGGCTAGCAATCATGGTCACAACATCTGGATGGTATCCACAAGCAAATTTACTTCACACCCAAAACAAACCCCTTGAACCCCCCCCCCCCCCCCCCCCCCCCCCCCCCCCCCCCCCCCCCCCCCCCCCCCCC